ACTATTGGGCAGAATCACGGGATCAGGTAGTAGTAGCAGTAGTAGTAGTAGTAGTAGTAGTAGTAGTAGTAGTAGTAGTAGTAGTAGTAGTAGTAGTAGTAGTAGTAGTAGTGGTAGTAGTAGTCGTGGTGGTGGTGGTAGTAGTAGTAGTAGTAGTAGCAGTAGCAGTAGTCGTAGTAGTAGTAGTACTACTACTACTACTACTACTACTACTCCTACTACTACTACTACTACTAGTGATAGCAGTAGTAGTGGTACGAGTGGTAGTGGTAGGGTCGTGGTAGTGGTCGTGGTGGTGGTAGTAGAAGTAGGAGGAGGTAGGAGTAGTAGTAGCAGTTGGAGGAGTAGTAGGAGCAGGAGTAGGAGCAGTAGCAGCAGCAGCAGGAGCAGGACTAGGAGGAGGAGTAGTAGCAGTACCAGTGCCGGTAGGTGCAGCAGCAGCAGCAGCAGCAGCAGCAGCAGCAATAGCGGCAGCAACGTTAAATGGCTGTGTTGTCGGTGGTCGTGGTCGTGGTTGGTGCAGTGCTCTGTTGTGGCTGTTGCTCCTCCTCTTGCTGCTGCTGCTGCTGCTGCTGCTGCTGTACATTGTTGTTGCGGCGCTCGCTGCTGCTGCTGCTGCTGCTGCTGTCGCTGCAGCTGTGCTGATGCTGATGTCATCGTTGTCGCTGTCCCTGTGGTTGTGGATGTGGTTGTTGTTGTGTTGCTGTTGTTGTGGCTGTAGTCGTCGCAACAGCAGTGGTGGTGGTGGCGGTGCCGGTGGTGGAGCTGGTGCTGCCGCTGGCCACATAGCCGCAGGAGTAGTAGTTGATGTTCGTGTCGAACATGACCCCCGACAGGGTATAGAAGCAGAACCATGATCCTCGAACTCGATGAACACTTGAGGGCGCTTGAAACCAAACGAGTAGCCGCGCAAATCGGAATGTGAACAACTCAGGCATTTATCAAATGATGTTCAGCTCACAGGTTAAGCTGCGACCGGAGAAAAAATTGCTCGTAGAGCACTTCAAATCAGGCGTACAAGCAGATCCACGACAGCCCTTGCCTCAACACCACAAGAACTGGAGCACAGCGAGCCTCGAGGACAAAAGCGATCTGGAAGCCCGTTAACTTCACCGTCACCATGTCTGGAGTCTGCAGAAAATTGCAGATTTCGTGCAACCTCTATGAATCGTACATGCCGAGTCGATCCGAGCGAAACTTCCGACCGCGGAAACAAGCCGAAGAGTCATGCCGGCCTCGTGCAAATCAAAGTTCTCAGGTTTGAGATCCCGGTGGCACCTTGGCACGTGGCTGTATAGGTGCCGAGTCAATGCCGAAGCTCATCGAGGCGGTTGGAGGCGTTGGAGGGGTCTGTGTGTCGCACACCTTTGCTGCCAGGTGGAGGTGGGTCACCGCTTTGAAGATCTGCTGCAAGATCTGTGACCTCGGAACCACATGAGGCTGTCGAAACACGGGGAAAGTTTGGCTCCATTATCCATTCCTGCAATGTGCGCTTGACCGAGGTGCTCGCGTCTTCAGAAACGACAGAGGCCTCGTTGGCCGCCGGATGAACATGACCAGATGCTTTTTTTCAATTCCATGCACCAGCCCGCATCACCAAGCGGCAGGAGTGCGAGGTTGGCTATGCTTCGCACAAGGCTTTGTGAGATTTCGCTGGGGGCCACGGCCTTCGGCTCCTGCGGACGAGGCGGTCATGGAGACTTCCAGCGCCGGAGTACCTGAATCCATCTTCCCGTCAGTCTCAGGCTACCGAGGGAGTCGATTCATGCCGCTCCGTTCTGGGCGCAAGTCAGTGTGTTAGCGAAACTTCTCGCATACGTGCAGGTGGCAAAGAACTCAGCTGGCTCACTCCATCCGCATTATGATGTGAGTCCTTAGTCTCACTGCAGCTCATCATGCAAACCCGCACGGCCGGCTGGGCTTCCGTCAAGATTCACCAGCTGTTAGCGGATGCGGGCACAGACATGGCTGAGAACTCCACGGGGAATGGTAGATCTGAAAAAGCCTTCCAACACCGATGAGTGTATGTCTGCTTGTGGTCAGGCGAGTGAAAACAAACACTTCAGGCAGCACGCTTGCACGGTTGGGTACCTTTCCCTGCCAAAACTACAGCAATCTTCAACATTGCCGAACATGAACTGTGCAAGCACAAGTCACCACCAAACAAGTTGCAGGCCGGTGGCCTCTGAATGTTTGGGTGCTGCCACTTGTCGCAGCTAACCATCCAAAGAACATCCACCTGCACCAGATTTTTCTGCTCGGCAAGGTTGCTCGCTGAACTGCGCTCTTGCCGAGGCTGCGGCCATCCTCTTCAGTGACATAATGCCATTGATGTCTCGGATCGTGGACTTATCTACCTAGGCGCTCTCGGAGACTGATCGGTTGCAGCCAGTCAAGGGAGACGAGGCCAGCATTGGCCGCATGCCTGAGACTCCCGGCAAGGCGTGCGACCTCGCGAGTCGTAACGCCTGTGCCTGGCGTGTCACAATGATTCTGACCTTGCCCTTAAGCTTCTTTGTGCTCGTTTGTATTCCCGTGTCAGGTTGCTGTCTTCAACGTCACTGTAGGCTGCACTTTCTGTTTCGACCGACAAACTCCAGCCAACTTGGTGCCTACAAGGCCGGGGCTTTCTTGTCGTCGGCAGTTTAGACGGTAAACCTCAGTGCAGCGAGGGTTACTCCAAGGTTTAACCTTGGCAGGAGTGTTCTCCAAATCCACGCAAACGCAATGATCAAATTGCCGAGCTCAGGCCACGTCCACGCCGCTGGGTGTTCTGCGTGAACTGCCTGGAATGTGTAGGAATGTGCCAGATATTGCGACATTGATGTGGCAACTCGCTGGCAGCCACAAGTCGTGGCAGCTGCACCGAACGACCACCCGTCGATGTGGCTCGGGATGCCTGATGGGCAGCGAAATAATGATGCTCCGGTATCATCACGACGGAAGCTGTAGGCTTACTTGACACGCAGAGTCCGTTGCAAATCGACAAGCTTTGGGAAGGAAGGCTGGACAGCCCAGACCCTGGATGTCTCAGCTCCAATCCTTGCTGCACTTTACAGGAGCAGGCGCTAAAAAATTGGAACCTTCTGGGAGATGTCTGTCACACGGCGGGACCACCGGTGCGAGCCTTGGCAAACTATTCCCGAATAACGAAAGGCCTTCGGACACCATTGCAGATCTTCCTGAGCATGTGGCCGATTGCGGAGATAGTCCCAAAGGAGGCTGTCGGTGTGAGCCTGCAGTGCAACTACAGGAGTTGCACAGTGGTTGATCGGCAAAGAAATCGTTGAAGTGAAGGAATGCACTGACTGAATATTCGCACTAACCTACGGCTCAAGTGGATGCTCACTACGACATCTCTGCCGGCTGTGCATAATTTCCAGCTCCTGCCCTAAATTTGGTGACAGCCACAGGTTAGAGATTTGGAAATCCGGCAAAGCGGTCAGCATATGGGCCGGCCTTGAAGTACTCCACATTTTGGGCCCGGCGCTTCCTCTCGTACATGACCTCGGCCCTCAGCGTTGCGCCGGCACTGCAGAGCCGTCGGAATCGCATTTTGAGCCCTGCGCAGAGTTTGCGCGGCGACTTCGAGCTTGCGCACCTGAGCATGACCGATGAGCTCCGGTCCAATGCGGTCTGGAAAATCGCCGAAGCCATGAAGCTCGTGGTTTCAACCCTTCAACGGAAGCCGCGCCTAAGTTTCTCGGGACTCAGGGCTAGGCCCACATTCGTGTAGTCAGCGCCAGGGCAGGTCCTTGTGGCCTGGTTTGCCAAGAGTTCTTTTAGTTCAATTGAGAAGAAGTCAAAGGTGTATGTCACAACATCGAAGCACTCTCTTGGCACACGAAGCGTCTTTGACGTGGCAGTGAGAGTATGGACTTCCGTCTAGCAAAATTTCCCAGAGGGCTGCACTCTCCGGAGATGATGCCATCAAGTCCAATTTCCTTGGCAAGCATGGGCTGCAAAGACGTGTGACGTCATGCCGCAATCGAAATCAGGAAGCTGTGGCAGAGTACATGCCCAGCAAGATGAGGTCACGGCCATCAACTCACCTGAATTCCGAAGTGCAAGATGTCAACTCTACCGCAACCGCTCACGTGCACTGGATGCTACTGTTTCGATCAAGTCAAGAGGCTAACCAAATTCCGCCCGTCGTTCGACAAGGTGTCGACAACTGCGTTGTGCGGCCGGATCTGTCGCAACGAGTGCTAGCTTGCTCTGAAGACGTGCATACCTACATACATACATACATACATACATACATACATACATACATACATACCTACATGTATACATGTATACATACACGCATGCATACAATATCATACAACCATATGCATGTTGACTTACGGCGGGTGCTGCTGCTGTAACCTCAAACATAGTGAAGCAAGTGGGATGACCTACACACACACAGGCGCAACAGCGATGTGCAGCTCAAAAATCCATGTGGCATCGCTCCTTCCACCTGTTTGTCGCATCATAGCACGGAGGTCGTGAGCAGCTCGCTATTCAGCGACAAGCAATTCACGGGCGGCCTCAGGGGTGACTGTGTGTGGCGCCCAGATCCTCAGCCACGAACTTCGCGGGATTGTGTGGACTGCCCAAACAGCGAGCTGAGCTAGACTGAGCTAGATGTCTGGCATTGGTCACAAAGGACACTGAGTAGAATTTCCCTTGGATGACCGGGTTGGTCGGCCGCAAAACCAGCAACGTGGACCGAGCGACATGGGTGCTGCGTCACTGCCTGCGGAGTCCATCGCCTGGAACGTGTAACAAAGCATGGGCATGGCTACCTAGTCTTGTACAAGTACCTATTTGTGCAGTAGCAGCTGTTGCGGTGCTTCGCAGAGGAATTTGGCTCATGCGCAGTCCGTGCCTGGACAAAGTCACGCAACGCTGCCACCTGCTCGTGGTCTACATGCTGCGGTCCGGACTGCATTTAACGATTGGTGCTCTTACTACGCATATTGAAAATCTGACCGCCACAGAGATCAACCCCTGCCCTCAAGCTCTTTGCGCCAGAAGCAGGGCCTGCCTGCGCCTGGTCACTGGGACTGGCGAAAATGAAGATCGCCCTTCTGCCCTGCATTCGTCGTCCGCAGCTCTGAACACATGGAGCAACATCTGTGCTCGTTGTCTTTACAAGTGCCGATGGAAGCCATGCAGCTGAGAGGCAACGATTGATGAGAGGAGACGGATGTGACGAGCATCAGCCCAGCATGGACAAGGATGCGCAATCGATTGCAAAAAGCGTGACGCGTGTGAATCTATATATATATATACACATCTATATATACATATATATATATATGTACATATATATATATATATATATAGGACTGATACGTGCTCTGATGGGATATGTTAACATGGCAATGGCACAAGCTCAGAATGTATCGCTGGGGGCTGGGGCCGTCCTGGAGGGCGGGGACGATGCTGCTCGGATCCTGGCCCTGGCAGCGGAGTTCGCAGGAGCGACGAGGCAAAGAGCGGAAGCGCAGCGCAGCTGCGACTCGCAGTCGCCCTCCCGTCCCGTCGCCTTGGCCATGGCCGTCCAGATGCTCTGAACGTCTGCCAGGGGGCTGATGTTGGCAACGCTCACGAAGTGCACCTGAGCAGGCCGTGTCCCACCGTGACAGGAGGCCACAGGCCCTTCAAAGGAGACCCCAGATAACTACTAACTACTGGTGCTGGAACCGCATGTGAAGTGCCGCAGTAAGGCAAGTGTGTAACCCGAAGCTCAGTGCTGCATGGTGTAAGATCCGTGCGCCGCTGTCGAAGTCTGCCGGGCTTAGCCGCAACAGGCGCTGGTTCATCCATACTTGGGTCATGCCTTACAAGCTGGAAGCTGAAACGTGCGAGGTGGCAAGGGCAGAAAAATGTGAAAGCCCTGAGAGGGCAATTCAATGATGCCACACAGCCACCACTCAGACAGACTCGGTAAGGCCTCCTCCCACCAAGGCATCGATTGCGGTTTCACTGTTGCCGGTGGTGGGACATCGGACATTCGGATATGGTCTTTTTCAGATCAGGACCGTTCGGACCGAATGAAGTAGTCCATTCCCACGTTTACACTCTCTCAGATACCCCTTGATCTTGCTTGGCTGCGTCTCCTGCTGCAGCTGTTCCAGAGAAGTGGTTGCAGGAAGCAGCAACTTCCCTGCGCTTGATTTATCAGTTCTGCTTCGCTGCATAGTGCGGGGCTGAGGGTGGGTGTTCATGGCATGGACATGAGCACATGGCACCATTGAGCCGCCAAGGACTGGAGCCATTTTCAATGTCGACGGTGTGAATGTGCAACGCAGTTGACAAGTTCCAGCAGCATTGGATTGACTACCAAGCTAGTCCAGCTCCATGTTGCATTTGCCAAAATGACGGCAGTGACGGGTATGCAGCTCCTGTGTTCACATGGCATATGAGGAGGCACCCATGAGAGGATGATGCCGAGGACTTGGATCAGCAGGACGATGCCCAAGGCCACGGTGAAGCCCGGATCCACCTTTGTGCTTCACAGCGGCAAGCACAGCAAGAGTTCAACGGATCATAGATGTTCATTGGTCGTGTCCCTCAATCTCTTCTTTAAGCTTCACAACTCGAACATCACCAGCGCTCAGCAGTCCTAATCATGCGACACAGCACTGAACAGCTTTCATCTTTTGTCCTGACTCCTTGTACTTCGAGCTTCTAGGAGCTGGCAAAAACTGGATAGCGGCCTGGGAGTAGCTGAAGATGAGCGCCGCGAAGGCAACCAGCCTACAGTCATGTACAGTAGCAAGCGTAGCATGGGGCAAGGCCTCAGAAACATCGAACCGAAGGCGACTCACTAGTCGGTGGAAGCCAAGGGCCGGTCAGGAGAAGGCGCCCCACGAGGACGGCAGTGCGGTTCTGCCCGGGTCACAAAAGAAACTTCTGGAAGTCAACGCTCAACCAAACTGAAGAAAGAAGCCCTTTGCTGAACCCGCGGCATTTCTGCATGCAGTTCTTATGGCATCTAGTCTAGTCCAAGGGCTCGGGGAGCAAGTGTGTGAGCATGCAGTATGCTGTGGCGGGAAGCCGGGGGGGTCGGCATGTGCTGGTGTACAGGCTCGGTGTTCAGAGATTGGGTGAAAGCGGCGTTCACCTTCTCACTCCATCTACGAAGAGCGTATCACTGAAGAGACTACGTTGCTTTTTGTCCGCCTGCCGTGACATGAGGTAGGCGATTGCGCAGCACATGAGCAGCCCACCGAAGAAGACTGCCCACCTGGCTTGCAGGTTTCGAGTGCTTTCCGCGGCCCAACACTTGCCGAAACAAAAGTCTGCACAACTGATGCTGTCTCACGACTCTTCAACTCTCAACCCTCTCACACCCAAGCTTCACTCCAAGTCTTCCAGACATTATGACAGTACTACACTCAGCCATCCAACTTGTCGCCGGAGGAACGGTGGATGTACCTGGGAAGTCGGCAGGCTTCTGATGCCGGCAGAAACCGAGTCCAGAGAATGAGCTGTTTCTCACGGGGGGCACCAACCAAAGCAGTGCCACTGCCACACCGGCCGTGCACAACAGCAGGCTCTGTGCAACCTCGGGCGGGGGACGAAATGCGCTCTGAGACCTTTGGGGAAAAGATCACCTGAATTGCCCTGAGCTTGGCCGCTCACAGCCGGGTCCACGCCGCCGATCCGGAGCAGGGCCCAATTGGCTGCCACTGAAACAAAGGTGAGGGACAGGAAAAGAGCAATGGCCTCCGCAGTTGGCGCCGCTTTTCTTTTAAGGTCTGAAAAAATGTGGATGCCATGTTCAGAAAATTTCCCTTAGATCCTCGTCGACCAGCCACATGAGTCCAGCGCAGGCTGCACAAACGGCCTGTGCAACGCAGCAAGAACAATTTCCACAAAAGGCACCCGCAGCTTCTCAGCTCGCTGCGCAGGCCCACAAATCGTTCTGCACCATCTCCATGTAAAGCATCGAGCCCAAGAAGCCGACCCCGACCACTGCCTTGAAAGGCAGACCAGGCCCGCCGAACTCCAGGGCCGAAGCTGGGGCAGGCACTCCCAGGATCGCCAAGGAGAAGAACCAAGGATCTTCGGCCTTGCTGCCTGGAGGACCTGAACTCGAGGTCAGCGGGAAGCGCCCCATCCCTGCTCATCCCGCTCTGGGTGCCACACATCTGAAGAGGGGCTTGCATCGCTTCGGAGCTTCCGTGCCGTAAGGGCAATAGTGGCCCTGGCAGTTGCGAGGTTGAGAATCTACAATGCGCGATGCACAGAAATCTACGCTGACTACCCAGATCCTGGTTCAGCGCAGATGTTGTTTGCACACGGAGCCACTGTCAACGGAGCCGACTAATTAGAAGGCCCTAGCAGCCATAGGTCCTGCGCCGTCCCTTATTTTCAAAGTCAGGGTTCAGCATCCCTTCATCGTCCCACTTGCACGGAATGCTCCTGCTGACCGCCACTGCAAGTACTCCGTTCTTCGACTGCAATTCCAAGGATGACATGCTCGGAAGCATCCCCGTCCCGAGTCTGCAACAAACTACAACGACTGTGTGGCTGTCAAGGCTTCGGTGCTGCTTTTCGCTGCCTGGCCTGGGGGCAGATGGCATCCTCCCCTGGCGGGCAGAAGCGCCCGGCTTGGCAGGCCTGACGCCGACAGAGCCGGGCAGTTCTCGTGGATTCTCGTGCCAAGTAAGTGCCCTGAGCCGACCTGAGGGCTCTGTGCGCCCCGAGGGCAATGGCCGCCTGCCGGACAAGGTCGGACCTGAGCGAGAGAGGAAGGTTCGGAGAGTCCGTGTCTGGGGGAAACTTGGGCCATCTGTCACGAGAGTAAAGAGATAGCTAACCCTTGATCGAAGCACTGCGCAGGCTCTGTCTCACAGAAGCACTTGCAATGCAGCGACATGAGGAACGCATCTGCCACTCCACTCCGCCTAATCGCCCGAGTGGCATCTGCTGCCGGTATGGGGCAATAGAATCCCAGTGGACAAGAACCTGAGTTGCAAGCGATGCAAGCGACGAGTCTGCGCTGGCCATGCTGGCCATGCGTGCAGTCGGGGCCCGGCGGTCTTCCAGGCCCGTGCCCACGGGGCAGTGGTCGCCCGAGCTGCAACTGCGAGGCGGCTCGAGGCCGCCGGCACAGTAGAAGCCTGGACATAGACCCAGCCCGGATTCCCCCATGAACACTCGCTCGAAGGATCTCCACGCAGTAAGACTTTTCTGTCAAGTGAAGGGTTCATTTGCAGCAGCCGCCTGGAGGACACTTCTGAACTGTTGGCTCGGTGGCGGAAGTACCGAATGCTGCCACGCACTGCCCGGTTGCGTCCTTAGAGACCCCGGGCTCGAGGAGCCTGTTGCACGTTACGTGAGACTGAGCCCAAGAGCCTCGGTAGTAGGGCTCGGGCCATGATGTACCATTCTCCCGGCTTTGCTGTGGAGTTCATGGTGTAGTTCATTGGCTCGGATGCAAGTAGCCAAACGACCCCGTTCACAAAGGAGCTGGAGCAATTGCCTCGGCTCGGCGCACCGCTCAAGCAACGGCTTCAACTCCAGAACGTCTCTACAATTCTGCGAGGCGAGCGGGTCTCATCAGCGGGTGATTCAGGTATATACATATAAATTATGCGACCGGGCCACAGTATTGCCCATCAACGGTGCACTCCAAGCCCAAACCTGTCAGATGCATCTGTTTCAGAAGAAGCATAAGGCCACATAGCGTGGACATCGTGCCAGGCATCTAGCATGATCACTGTCCGAATGCACTTCCCCATTCCAAGTTCAGGCGGGAAGCTAGCTTGCAGGGACTCGTTCTCCTGCGGCAATGCCGAGTGCTATGAGCAAACTCAAGCATACATGCGCTCAGCATCCTTTAGGTCAGAGGAGAAGCATTGCGTGTCATCGAGTAGAACAGCGCTGTCTCTAGGCATCGGAATGTCGCACTTTGACAGTGACCTGGTTCCTACGGCAACTTCACGCGGGTGAGTGACAGCTCAGAGTCCCAACTAGTCTTGAGATCGTAGACTTTCATGCTCAATGTGCATCAGAATCATCAAAGACTGGTGACAGCACAAAGGGAAGGATGGACCATTCTACCTTATGGTTGAAGTATCAGCTCATTGCCTAGAGTCCGCCAAACTCCCCGGCTCCTGGGTGAGGACTTGGCAAACGTAAGCATGCGCAGAAGGCAGCAGCAACAAGCTCGCCGCTGCCTGGAAAGACTTCTTGCTGTTCCAGCCACAGGAACACATGCATTCCTCTTGAACTACAGCTTGCACACGGCAAACCCAGGCACGTCCTGATGTTCATGTTGTCCCTGCCTTCATCATGCCCATAACGACCAGACTTGATGTAATCGCTGGTGCGATCACTGAAGCATCTTGTGTGCTGAACTCTAAATACGACTTGTACATAGCTATAACTTCTAAGTTTTATGTGACTATGCTCGTCTGACAACACGGCATGTGCAGAGTCTTCAGCCGAAGTTTTGGGTCCAGCCATGTGGCGGCGCCGGCTGTAATTTGTTATATAGCGCTGCTCCCGCTGACTGTGCGCTGATGACATGATTCTTGAAGCCAATTGGCCGAGAGAAGCACCGCTGGATTCAGGAACGTCAAGTGTGCAGCTCTTGTGGCACCTCTAAGGCTACAGCTAGGCGCCTGGTGTGCAGCGGATACTTTAGCACATCACATGCTGACGCACCATGCTCCTGCAGTTCATGAGGGAAGGAGAGCATGCTTTCACATGGTCACCCACCCTTCCTGTTTGGAAGGAAGGCAACTTAAAATGATGAACACTTCCCTGTCGGCGTCTGCAGAGAGTGTCCCAGTGAGAAGCTGCGCTCTCAGAGTGGGCTAGACGTAGCTGTCCTGCGGAGCGATGTGAATCGCACGTATTCTCGAAACCCAGGCCCGGCTCCTCAATCAGGTCGAGCTGTGCCGTTAGGCCTCCCTTCATCACAGTCCTCGTCATGCCGTGCACCACGCTCCAAGCAGCACGACGACTTGAAATGCTCACCGCGACAAGTTGATAATAGCTACTTCCCACCTCTGAACCTTGTTTTTGCCTGGCACGGCAGCTGCATGCACCACATCTTTGCCTGCGGCTCCTGCTTTTGCTGCTGTGCAGTTGATGCTGCTGCTGCTGCCGCTGCTGCTGCTGCTGCTGCATCGGGCAGCCCGCTCTGTCACATTGCACCACCGACCATTTCTTGCACTGAGCACGATGCTTGATGTAGTAGTAGCCAAAGTCTCCCAACAGCAGCATGTGTAGGGCATTCGCTCCCAAGATGACCTTCGCTGGCAGCAGAATCTACAGGGTGGACCAACAACTGCACTTCGGCTTACAAGGACCTTCTGCTGCTTTTGAGATGTGGGCCCAGATGGCATGGTTGTAGCCAGGCACCCATGGGTCACAAGTGATGTCGAAGCGCGCATGCCACATGAAGACACCTGACAACGGAAGTGACACTTACACAGCTTTTGCAATTACTCCACTGATAGCACCGCCGGGCTGAGGCGTCCGCCGCTCAAGGCACGGCTGATGGCCATGGCCGCAATGTAGTGGCTGGTCAAGGGCCTGGGAAGGTTACCAGGAACTATCGCACGATGCACGGGGCGAGCCGAAGAAGGAGGAAGAACAACTTTATGGAAGTCGTGAGCGCAGCGGCCATGAGTCGCAGAGATGGGCAGCACCCAAGCACACTCGGTCAGTGACTCAACCTTCCCGCCGGTCTTGGAGATGAGCCACAGCTGGCAGGCAAGAGCAGGCAAGCGCAAAGCATCCCTCTGCTTCAGTTTTTTTGGTGGATGCTGCAGCTATCATCACGCTCACAGCACTGAATAGCACTGAAGTGCTCACCGGGCCTGAGGCAAAACCGCAACGGCGCTGATGAACAGACCTGGTGCAACGAAGAGATGGGAACCACTCGTGCACAGCTTGTGCTACACCGCTTTTTGCTTGGCAATGATCTTGCACACAGAGCACCTGCCATCCACAGGGTGTCAAACACGGGTCGCGCGTTCATGTCCTCAGCCCGTCAGCAGGCACAGCTCGCCTGCTCACACTTCATGTGGTTCATACGGCAACATCCCACCTTGACTACACTGAACATTTACCAAGCTTAGGGGCTGATTGTCATAATCGGGTTTGTCAATTAAACCTTGCAGATTGTTCAGAGGAGCGTGTGCCTGTGTGGCCTGCAAGGTTATGCAATCCGTGGTCCCTCCCCAGGCCAGGGGTGAAAGTATAGTCATGCGATACGAAAGCAAGCAAGTCGCTTTGGCTGAAGGTGTGGCTGCAGAATTTCCGTCGATGATGAACTATTGGCAACACTAGTAAGGGTGCGACCGCATGAAAGATTGCCGCCAGCACGAGACAGGCCAGTACCTTTCATCGCCACACGTCGACGTGATTGAATTCAACGATGATGCGCCACGGCTTTCACCGGGTGTATCATGTCTTGCAGCCTGCTTACTCAGACACTGTAAAGGTGTTCGAAATGCTGCAACGTGCCGACTGGTCATCTGTGCAAAACATGACCAGGGCACCACGGGGGTTGCAGGAAAGGTGTCCTTCGGGAATTACAGCCAACTCGTGAAGTTTCCACGCGAGCATTGGCCTCCTACTTTCATCCTGCGAAGCTACTCAAAGCCCGCAGTGTGGTCCTGCTCTTCCTGATAAGTGTGCTTCTTCTCAAAGAACAGCGAGTGCCTCTGCTGCGAGAATCCAGCAGCTCACTCATGCGGAAGTATTGCGATTGTTTGTTCGTCCAAGCTCAGGGAATCCTTCACTGTGCTAGGTAGGACAGCAGGGTCGGGAAGGTCTATCATCAGTATCCAAAGCACCTATAATTCATTTGGTCAGGGCGCAACAGCCAGAGCACCAAGACAAGCGACACGACATCCACCGCCTGCAGCAAATGAGCATGCTGGAGTTCATGGGACTCGCATGAGCATGAGCGATCCAGATCCAAGCACTCTGAAGCGCATCAAAGGATGTCGTCTCAACTCTGGCTTTGATGCGTGCGATGACGTCATTTCAGCTTCCGCTCTGATACACCGATTGCCACTCAGCTGAACATTCGTGCGTGTTTGACACCTCATCGTGACCGGGTGGGGAGATCCACCAGGCATTATGCAAGTGGTAATCCCAAAGCCTCCAAGTTGCATCTCGGCAAGCCATGTCATTACAAACGTTATGTCACGCTGTTGACTTGCGACTCGCCCGGGCTTCTTGCTCATGTCCGATGTGCTTGCGTCTGTCGACTCTGCTTTGTGATGTCACGCAATTTCGAGCGGCTTCGGCATGCCATGGCTAGCCATCCTGTCGACCAGCAGCTAGCTATGGCACATCTGCAAGGACATCGGTGTGAGCGATGCTCATACTCCCTCTATCCTCGGGCTTCCTCCACACGGCAGCCCAAGTGCTACTAAGCCTCAGCAAGCCCGGCATGATTTCGCCTCCTTCACATTCCTCCACCTCCGGTCCTCCTCCTCCTCCTCCCCTTCCTCCTCCTTCTCCCTCTCCCTCCTTTCTTCATCACCATTATGACCATTACCATTACTAGCTCACTAGCATTGTCAGAAAGCCCCCTTGCTTGGCGGCCTGGTAAGCCCAGTCGCCAGATGCGTCCACGGGCAGGTAGCCATGAAGCCACAAACTGCCAGGAGATGCCCAAAAGTCTGCGATGATGCTACAAGCGAGCTGCATGAGCACGACCAGCAGGTCAGGCTCTCGACTCGCGCCGGGGCCCCCGCGTGGAGGACAGGCGAAAGCACAAAGCCCAAGCCTGAGCTCAACGCAGAGCACGCGTCAGGAACGGCCAATGAAACTGGGCTCCGCACGTCCAGCGCCAAAGCGCGGGCCGAGATGCCAGTGCAGGTGCCCTCAGTGGTGCCGTCACTGTGTGAGGCGCCTCGCTGCATGCTCGCACTATTCCTACTAAGCACCACACGGTGAGCAGAACCTGCACGCAAAGCAAGGCGAAGCCCAGGCACTGGAAGATGACCTGCGCTCAGAGCTAGGTCGACTCAGACGATTCGCCCGAGACCAGCTCAGCTGGGGGCTGCCAATGTCAGGATCGCAGAGAACCTCGTCTGGCTTTTGTGGCTGCGTAGCTCGATCTAGCGTGAGCCGTGCTGGGCTGCGTGCTCGCCGTTCGCGATGAAGTGGTAGACTGCCAGCGCGGCCGTCAGAAAGACACTGGCAAGTCAGGCAGGTCAGGCTTTCGGTATTGGTAAGGTCTTGAATGGTCTTGAGCTATTCGGATGGGATGCATCAATGAGTCTGCCGGTGAGAACTGCCCATTGATCGAACGGCGGACAGCAGCGTGAGGATCTGCGCGATGTACAGTTCTATGCAGCTGCAATTGGCCAGCAGCGCCCGTAGGCAGTAATCACCTGTCCACGAAAGCAAACAGTTCGGCTGAATACTGAACAGGTCAACCTGGAGTCAACTAGACAAGTTGACACGGTCGAGAATGTACATGCGCAGAACTGACCCTCTGCAGCACAGCCGAGAGTCTGCACCCAGGCCTTGTTGGGGGGTGCCTTCTTGGCCATCACGGAGAGGGATGCTGTAGAGAGCATGGTGCAAATGGCCTGCTCCATGCACAGTGCAACGTCGAGGCTTCCGGACCACTTCCGGATCCCTTGCAACCTCCTGGAGGCTTGCCGCTGCTTTAGCGATCCTAGCCTGAAGAACGTAGAGGTATGAACGGGGAGACCTCGGCTCTGAAGGCGATCGCCAAGCGAACCAAGCGTATCCAAGGATAATCCCAGAGTCTTGGCTCAGGCCCCCGCGGCCTCGCAGGGTGCGCGGACCTTCCTGTCAAGGGGCCCAGCTCGGCCCAGACGAAGTCAAATCGCAAACGCAAACCTCGCCTTCCTTGTGGATGGGATCAAGGCGAGGCTTGAGCCCGAAAGAGCTAACGATGCAAACAAGAACTGATTGAACCTCGAGATCTTGCCCCCTCAATCTGAGAAAAAGTCGTTCTACTTTTGCGCCGCTATGTTCATCTTCCCAGAAAGAGCCATTCATGAAAGGAGGGGAAGTCCATTGCATGTCGTGATAGGCTCTTTGCAGAGCGAATGAAGGAGATCTTCCAATTCTTCCCCACCTTCCTGCGTTTGCAGTGAACTTACCTCTAGGAAGTCGCGCCCTCACTGCTACGCTGCTACACGTAGCTGTCCTGTAATCAGGGAAGGAGCAAGAACAATGGCAGGATTGCTGAAAGTTGTCCCAGCTCCTGGATCAGATCCAGCTGTGCTGTTAGGCCTCCCTTCATGACAGTCCTCGAGTGCTGGCGAGCTAGAGAAACATCACCACGGAACACTCTCTCAGCAGACCCCAAGGCACTAAGTCGCACCTGGGGCACGACTTTGCTCTATGGCGGAAACCCACATTTGTCTGAGCACTGGGCTTGATGTAGTAGTAGCCAAAATCTCCCAAAAGCAGCATGTGGAGAGCATGTGCTCCTAAGATGACCTCAGGACAAGGCCACGCCAAGACATAACGGCAGCCCACCCATTCCATCTCCCTCGGCCGTGCTAGCTGAGCCATGGACCCAGATGGCATGGTTGAATCCGCCCACCCATGGGGCACAGGTGATGTCGAAGCGTGCATGCCACATGAAGACTCCTGGCAACGGAAGAGACACGCATACAACTTACGTAATTGTTGCGTGCAGGGAGAGAGACAACTTGGAAGGAACTGCACGAGACTTGTTCACCCGGCTGATAGCACCGCCGGGCTGAGGCGTCCGCCGCTCAAGGCACGGCTGATGGCCATGGCCGCAATGTAGTGGCTGGTCAAGGGCCTGGGAAGCCCACCAGGAACTGTCGCACGATGCACGGGGCGAGCCGAGGAAGGAGGAAGAACAACTTTATGGAAGTCGTGAGCGATCTGCAGGCAGCGGCAATGAGTTGCAGAGATGGGCAGCCACCCAAGCACACTCGGTCAGTGACTCAACTTTCCCGCCGGTCTTGGAGATGAGCCACAGCTGGCAGGCAAGAGCAGGCAAGCGCAAAGCATCCCTCTGCTACATGTCATGTCCGCTGCTACAGTACCAGTAGCACCTCAATGGGCTTTTTTGGTAGATGCTGCAGCTATCATCACGCTCACAGCACTGAATAGCACTGAAGTGCTCACCGGGCCTGAGGCAAAACCGCAACGGCGCTGATGAACAGACCTGGTGCAACGAAGCGGTTTTCTCAGATGTAACTCGGCAAGTTTCAAACGGTGCCAGGGCGACGATTCGGAAAAGGGGGCAAGCAGGGCTAGCGAATATTTCAGGCCCCCATGCACGAGCACCACGGCAAAAGCAACCATGCTTCACTCATCTGCACTTGTTGTTTACCTCCCTCTTGGCGGTGCGAGCTGCGCCTGCCATCCACAGCGTATCAAAGATTGGTCGCGAGTTCATGTCCTGAGCAGGTCTTTGCAGAGGCAGCATGTCGCGCGAACACAGATCCAATGCAGAACATTTACAACGTGGCCCCGGAGCACAAACGCTCGATGCAGGTGAAATTGCTGTGCCTGTCGCCTGAGGATCCAGCGGCATGAAAGGCGACTGCCAGTGCAAGGCAAGCCAATACCTTCAGGTCACAAAGTGGCTTTCATAAAGGACGGCAGAGGGAAGGCTTGCGACAACAACTTTAAAGCAGGGCACCACGGGGGTTGCCGGAAAGGTGTCCTGCAGAATTGAAGTCGTTCTCCTACCTTCACGCGCAGCTGAAAAACGGACGGTGACTCAGGTCTGGTCCTGCTCTTCCTGATACGTGTGCTTCTTCTCAAGGAGCAGCGAGTGCCTGTGACGGAACTGTGCATCACTTCATGTACGCAGCAGATGAGAGTTCTCCTTCTGCAGAAATCAAGCATGGTTCTATTCGATGATTACCAGAAACTAGTAACTATTCCCGAATCGCAGTACTGCTGTCTCGCCGACCCCAAGGCCGAGATGCAGCAGCCAGAGCACCAAGACGAGCGACACAATGTCCACCGCCTGACCCAAGCTGTGACCAGGCAAAAAGAGTGCTGCAGCCTAAGTGACAAAAGCATGTTGTCGCACGAAACATACGCACTGTCACTGTATGAACAGATGCAACAAGAACGTCGTCCGGGGTCTTCTGACATGCCAGAGTGTTTCCAGCAACCTAAGACTCGAGTCGCTAATCCACAAAGGATCACATCGCTGCGTACATAAGAAACAGCCCTGCACCATCAACTTACAACACACTCAAATGATTTAGTGGGACGGGCGCTCATCACGGAAATCGAGCAAGCCATGCAGCAAATACAACATCCTGCACAACATCCGTTGCGCCAAATCGCCATCAAACGATTGATCCTGACTGAGGACTCATCACGGAGCTTCAGAAAGCCATGCATGAAAGTTGCCGTCAGCCCGTCGCGAATCTCTTGCATACAGATTGAACCACTGCCTGGGAAAAAGATTACGCAAGCCACCAGTGCGTCAAATTGCCATCAGATGGTTGATCCTGACTGAAGACTCATCACGGAGCTTCAGAAAGCCATGCATGAAAGTCGCTGTCATCCCGTCGCGAATCTCTTTCATACAGATTGAACAACTGCCTGGGAAAAAGATTACGCAAGCCAACAGTGCGTCAAATTGCCATCTGATGGTTGATCCTGACTAAAGACTCATGACAGAGCTTCAGAAAGCCATGCAGTCATCCCGTCGCGAATCTCTTGCGTACAGATTGAACAACTGCCTGGGAAAAAGATTACGCAAGCCAACAGTGCGTCAAATTACCATCAGATGGTCGATCCTAACTGACGACTCATCACGGAGCTTCAGAAAGCCATGCATGAAAGTCCCTGCGAAACAGATTACCCAAGCCAACCGTGCGTCAAATTGCCATCAGATGGTTGATCCTGACTGAAGACTCATCACGGAGCTTCAGAAAGCCATGCATGAAGGTCCCTGCAAAAAAGATTACCCAAGCCAACAGTGCGTCAAATTGCCATCAGATGGTTGATCCTGACTGAAGACTCATCACAGAGCTTCAGAAAGCCATGCATGAAAGTCGCTGTCATCCCGTCGAGAA